TGAATATATCCAGCTGGGTTACATTCATTGGTCAGTTTGCCTTGCTGTGAGTTTTAAGTTATATGCCAGGGTGGCCAGGCATTTACAGTCACCAGGAAAGGAGGGATTTGGTCCAGTTTGGCCTTTATGTTTCCTGCTGGGGGTCACTGGGTTTCTCAAAAGTTCTGAATTTGACCCAAATGAAACATTATGCTATTCATTGCAAATTTTCGTGTTTTAAATACAGTGTTTCTCCTGACCATGATTGAAAAGTCTACCTTATTGTGACTCTAATAAAACTTTTTTTTTAAACACAGTAGAACATACACTTATGAACTTGCTCATTTTTTTGTATACTGTATCAAATACACAGGTATATATGTATACATATACTTGTATATATATATATATATATATATATATATATGCACGTACAGATATATCTTCTTCTGCAATATATAGAGCTGCCACATTCTTTTTAATGGCTTCATATTTCTTTAGAGTATGAAGGTTTTGTAATTTATGTAACCACTCCCCTATGTAAGGACATTTTAGTTGCCAATATTTTGCTGCTGTAAGCAATGCTGTACTGAATTTCCTTGCATATACATAATTTTGCACAGATTCAAATGTGTTTGTATATGCTGAGTACCTAGGGAAGGAATTTCAAGGTCTCTGAAAATGTGTATTTGTATATTTGATATATATTTTTAAATTCCCGTTCATAAAGCTTGTACCAATTGACACATCTATTAAAACCATATGCAAGTGACTGTTTCCCCACACTAACAACAGTGAGTGCTAAACGTTATCTTTGCCAAGTGTTACCTTCTTTTTTCGCATTTGTCCTGTTAGGAACGAGGGTGTACATCTTTGCATATGTTTAAGAGCCGTTCAAATTTCCTTTTTCATGGATGACTTGTTTGTTCATAACTTCTGCCCATTTTTCTGTTGGGTTGTGGGTCTTTTTCCTGTTGGTCTATAAGAGTTTTATATATTGCAAGGAATCAGTCTTTATGATATTAAATACAAATTTTTCCTTGGCCATTGGTCTTTTGATTGTTTTTTTTTGTTTGTTTTAGTTCTGTTTTGCCATATAGAATTTAGTCAAATCTAAGATGTTTTTTCTTTTCTTTTTGCTGGGTTTTGTGTCATATTTTGGAAAACGTTCTTCAATATACAATATTAACAAAACTTTCCCATGTTTTTTTTTCTAGTACTTTTATGATTTTTAAAATATATTTAAGACTTTGATCCATTTTGAATTCATTCTTATATAAAGTATGAAGCAGAAATGCAATCTCTTATTTTTTTCCGAATAGCTGCCTGTCTTTGCTTCTTTTTCTGAACTTTCTATTCTATTACATTGAATTGTCCATCTATTTTTGAACCAATAGCATATTATTTTTAAATACTATAACTCTATAATATTTAAAAATATCTGATAGGACTGGAGACTCCTGGTTTCTCTATCTCAGAATTTTCTAGGTCATTCTTACCTGTTTACATTCCCCCGTTTGCACTGCTCCCCCCGCCCCCATCCACAAGCAGCCATTAACCTGCTTTCTATCATCATAGAATTTTGCCTTTCCTTGACATTTTATATAATGAAGGTATAAAATATGTAATTTTTTATATCTGGCTTCTCACATTTACCAGAATGTTTTTGAAGTTCATCTGTGTCATTAATACGACTTATGTACTACATACGTACTATGTATCAGTAGTTCATTCTTTTTTATTGCTGGATACTGTTTCATTATAAGGATGTACTACATTTTGTTTGTCCATTCATCATGAATGGACGTTTGGATTGTTTCCAGTTTTTGCTACTATAGAATAACACTACCATGAGCATTCGTATGTAAGTCTTTATGTGGATACGTGTTTTCATTTTACTTGGGTGGATAATGAGGAGTGGAATTGCTGCATCTTGTAAGTGTAATTTCTTAAGAAATTGCCAAACTGTTTTTGAAAGTACCTGTACCATTTTGCTTTCTCACCAGCAATGTATGTGGGTTTCAGTTTCTCCACATTCTCATCAACATTATTCTTTTATTATAGCCATTATAGTGGTATCTCATTGTGGATTTAATGTGACATAAATGATTAAGGATATTGAACATATTTTTATGTGCTCATTAGCCATTCATATATATTCTTTGGTGAGATGTCTATGCAAATCATGGAAATTTATCCTTCTGAAAAAGTTCCTGATATTTGGCCTGTTTATTTGTCTTTTGACTCTTTCTCATAAAGAATCAAGAGCAGAATGCACAAGATAAAACTCTGGTGACTTGAGGTAGTTCGTTGCCCATAGGACTGCAGATGAATGACAATGTACTGTGTGTGTATTTCAGTGGTCGCTTTGACTAACTTTTCTCATTTTATATTTGGAAAGAGAACTAAACACAGGGTTCAGAGGCCTGGATGTGAGTTTTGGCCCCGCCAATCTCTAGCAGGGTAATTCTGACCAGTCTCTTCACCTCTCGGGGCGACATTTTCATGAGGGTCGAAACCTCCGAGGTGCTCTGACATTCTGGGGTCTGGTCTATGGGGTGAGGGAAGTGGCCCCTACACTTGTCCATGGATGTCTGCTCTCTCACCCTTGTTGGTCTTAGGACAACGATGGAGACTGTTTTAAGGCATCAGGGTAAGCTTAGAACCTTAGAATTCTTTAAGAGCAGGAACACCATTGACAAACACCCGCTGAGAGACTTACAGGAAAAAAGTAGGAAGAGTGCAGTCTTAGTTGAAAAATCACATTTTCCATATCACGAGCAGGTAGATATGAAGGGTGATATCACCAACTTTTTTCTGTCAAACAGGCCAGCAAACTTCACAGTTAAGAAAGTCTTCTCGGCATCTCATTGGAGTCCCTTTGGCTGCAGTTCCTCAGTCTGCCTGGCCTCTTTGCTTCAGCCTTGCAGGCTCTTTGCAGCCTGCCACGGGATGCTCTGCCCCTCCGCTGACGTTTTCTTTCCTTCCCACAGCTGCTTCAGCTCTCGGCCGCCGCTGTGGACAAAGGATGCAGCGTGGGTGAGGTTCTGCAGTCGGTGGTGCGCTATGAGAAGGAGCGACAGCTGGACGAGGCGGTGGGGAACGTTACACGGCTGCAGCTGCTGGATTGGCTGATGGTGAACCTGTGATCCGAGGGCACCACCGCTCACTGCCTTCCTCTTCCAGCAGTGGGCCCAGCCCTTCCCCTCCCCTGTCCTCACTTCCCCAGCTGCCCTTCTCCACATCAGCCTGGAGCCCTAACATTATCTTCATTCCACTCACATCAAAGACATGTCATCTTATGCTAGTCACTGGATTTTGCAGATTTTCCTGTCCATGCGAGCAAGGACATAAAATTAAAAAATTAGAATTAAAGGGCTCTAGTGTTTGATTTCCTTGGGATCCAATGGGACAATAAGATAAAGAAATCTTGGGAGTGAAAAAATTCTCAGATGGATGGCAGGGTTAAAATAGTGCTGGGCTGACAGGCACTGCCAAAGGTCACCCGGCCTGTCCCCTATGTGTCCCCCGTTTCTGTGCCACAATTTGCAGTTCCCCTCCCTTATTCCCTTAAAATAAGCCACAATTTATCAATAATTCATTTTAGTCTTTTATAGCCATGAAAATCAGAAAATAGTTTCTAGTATCCAATCAAAATTATTCAATTATGATGCTGGGGACATGGCTGGTTGTCCTGTCTCTATAGAGCTGTAGAACAACTACCTACCTCCAACTTCATCCATTGATTGAAGATAGTGTCAAAAGAGATTCCCAAGACGTGAGTTCTATTGCCGGATCTGTGGCTTTCCGGCTATAGAACCTGGGACCTGTAATGGCACTGCTCTGATGTAAATGTCCAGATCACCCCACTTAGTATTTTCTGTTCTTACCCTGACCTTTCTGTGGACTTTATATTCTTGTCCCTTTTTTCCTTCTGGAAACTTTCTCTTCTTTTGGCCTCTAATTTTCCTCCTATTTCTCTGGGCCTCTTGGGGGCTGTGTTCACCTCTGTCCACCCTTCTAGATGTATCTTCCCTAGGACTTTCTCTTCACCTTCTACTGTTCTCACTCTGTATCATCTTCCCTAGGTGCTCTCATCCAAACCCACAGCTTCAATTACCTGGTATCTCCTTTCATGGAATATTACACAGCAATTAAAATGAACGCTATGAAGCCAGGCGTATTTTCCATTTGTTTATGATATGAGCTTAATTTTCATGTAAAATTTTATCTGTCCTATGATTACAATCATATAAAAGTATGCACTTATGTAGAGAAGGACTAGAAAGGGAAATAAATAAGTGGACATGATTAGAGTTTGGTGGTGGTAGATGAGTGAATATATCCTGCCTGTTTTCTCAACTTCCCTTCCTTTGGGAAACACTCCATCCTAGAGAAGCATCTGTCATGGGGCCTTCACCACCACAATGTGGGCTTGTGACCCAGGCTGGCCATTCAGAGGATCTCAAACTCCCAGACACAGCAATTGGTTCAAATACAATCATTTCTGAGACTTTCCTGCCAGCAAGGAAGACTGCATCTTTTATCTGGATGTTGGTGGTCATCGTAACTTCTGAGCAGAGCCTAGCATAAGAATGAAGTTAACCACAAACAGAAGCAAGGCTAACAGATGAAGAGGGAGTCTGAGCTTGTGTGACCTTGTCTGAATTCCTAGATCCTGCCATGCCTAAAACTACATCTGCCCTTCTCTATTCCCCAATTATACAATCCAGTAAATGTCCTTTGTTGTTTAAACTAGTTTGGATTCAGCTTCTATTTTTTTCAAACAAGAATCCTGACTAACATAGGTTGGCAGTCATGGGGAAGAAGAAAAACATTTTTTGTTTGTTTGTTTAGAGTTCCATTAATGATGCTATAACACTGAGTATTTAAAACCACCCCTTGCCTCCTCCCTCGCCACCCCCCACACACATAAGAAGTGAATATAGGTGCAAGGACATCCTCCCTCATCCCTCATAAGAGGAATCATGCCAAATGGTCGTGTAAATAGAGTTGCAGGCTTTTTAAAATAAACCTTTATGCATTAAAAACCCAACAATCTAAGTATGGTACAATATAACTGCTGTCTCTAATACAAATCATTGGCGGAAAGGAATAGGACACACCCTCAGCAAAGGTCATACAATAGGTGGTGAAATATTTGTGTTCTTGGAAGAGAAGTTTTTGCTCTGTTGTTCTGTGGAGGTCAAGGACACGTCTGGCCCAACAACTGCCTCTGGCTTTCCAGGAGCTTTTGCTAGATGGGGCAGCTGGACAGCATCAGCTGTGTGCCGGAGAGAGCCCTGCTGACCACCTGAACTGAATTTCAGCATGCTTGGTTAGTGGTGCCATCTTTCATTTTGTCTGTCGTCTCTTCAGTGATCTCATCTGCTGAAGGACAGAGAACAACGAAGGAACAAGCTTTCAAATGTGAATGATGTTCTAACTGTCCATTAGCCTGTGAAGCACTTTGGGGAAATGGTGGTTGTAATGATACAAAAACTTCATTGGTAAAGCATATTCTATATGCCAGGCATTATTCTAAACACTTTACCTGTATTAATTCATTTGATCCTTTCAGAGGATAGGATCAGAAAACAAGCATTATTCTCATTCTCATAAAGGGAGAAACATATACAGAGAGGTTAGGTAAATTGCCCAAAAGCCCACACCTAGTAAGTGGTAGAGCCAGAATTTAATCCCAGGTCAACTTATCCTGGTGACTGTCTCCTTGACCACTACATTATATTGCATATAAAAGATTTGCATAATACTATAATCTGTCATTGATAAAAATTCGAAATGTAATTACAGGGCATAAAGGGGTGAGCACAGTGAAAGAAAAGAGAAGAAGGAGAAAGGGAATTGAGTATAGGAAAAAAATGTAAAATCTGAATGACAAAAAGCAAAAAAGAAGAGCCCAGATAAAACCAAGTTTTTGAAAAGGAAATCCCAAAAGTAAGGAATGGCAGGCTAGTAATGAATTATCCATGGTTGAGCTCAGAGAAATTGACATGCAAATCCTCCAGAAATGTCCGGCCCCCTGGACTATGGGAGTAGGACTGGCTGTTCGGGGATCTATACCTTTTTTGACTGAGTGATGACATCCTTGAACCTTGTCCTTCCTTGTCTCAGAGGGGGAAACAGAAACTGGATTTCCTCAGAGTCTGAGGCCTGGGCTGTGGTTTGAGGTTTCGTGGCTCGAGGTTTCGTGGCTCACGAATCCAAGCATGCTTGAGGGCCTGGTCAGGGGTCATTCGAAGAGAAGGGTCCCATCTGCATACCAGCAAAGCCCAGCTTAGGTTATTGTTTTACTTCCTATTTTATGTTGAAAAAAATTTTAAAACCTTATAAAGATATCTTTCATTTAAGCTATGTTATATCTCAAAGACATGATCATAGAACAGATATTATAACATATAATTTTAAAAGTGCCTGCAAACAACTAACAAATAATCTTTTTAGAAAATTCGCATAACAAGCCAGGGAATATGTTAGAATCCAAGTTTTCCAGAATTCCTAGAAATTCCCTTATAGAAAAATATTATAAACAATCTTAACCAATGGGATTTAGGATTTGGTAAGCTCAGAAGATAAAAACAAAGAGCTGTTGAATTTTAATTCTCAAACTACAGAATTGGGCCTCTAAATATGTCACAAAGAAAATTATTGAACTCTAGAAGCTTAAGATATATAAAGTAACTTTGGATATAATCCAGGCGGACTTTTAATGCGGTAGCAGAGTCCATTTGACAGAATTCCCAACATGGAACCATCCTGCCATTCTTGCATAATTTCAGTGACAAGGAAGTAATGCAGAACTACCTATTCCAATTCTGAAAAACAATTCTTTAAAAGTTCTTTATTTTTCGTGAGCCCAAATTGGCTCACTTTCCAGTTACTTTTACCGGGTCCTAATTCTGCCCACTAGCATTATACAGAAGGAAAGAACAAATTCTTCTTTTATGTCACAGCCCTTCACCTATCTGAAAACTTTTCCCTCATACTAACTATTGATCATCTCATGTGGTCTCCACCATCTGGCCACCTTCCGAGACAGGAAATTTCAGATGTTGTCTAATTGGTGTCCATCATACTGGGAATAGCTCCTAACTGCAAGGAAACGGTATTAACGTTCCAGACTCATCAAGGCTGTAAACAACTCATGCTCCCAGTTCTTCGTCAAATGAATTGCTGTGAAACTACATCTCCCCTCTTCTGAATTTCTGGAGCGAGCCTATGAAACCTAGACACAGGGCTTTACATTTACCCCTAATGAATCTGGCTGGAAACTTTAGTCTTTCATTCCGAAGATTTGCTAATTAGCAATATATGAATAAGATAACAGGCCCCATCAGCCCTACTGCCTCTTGCAAGCTGCGAATAATCAGTCCTTTGCACGAAAAAAAAAA